GTGCGTCGAGCTCTTATACCACGAAGACGAGGATGCACGCACAAGTCGAGTCCCAAACCGGGAAGAGCAAATACCATATCGGGAACAAAGCCAGGATCCTGTACGTCATCGCACAAGTCGGCTTCGCAAATCCGATATAAACTTGAAATTAGTATCGCACGAAAATGAATCAAGACCACAACCGTCATGTAGCGATGCCGAGAGCGAGTCAAGTTCATTCAGTAGCAAGTGGCCGTCCAAGGGTGGCTTTCTCAGAAAGAATAATAATTTTGCTCAATGAAACGACTAAACTACACTTGAACTCGACTGTAACAATGCATAGTATCCAATAGTCCTCGTGCAATACAACATGCATGGTATCCATACAAACCTCCTGGAATGCCTATCACTACACGGCCGCCCACTTCTCCAAATACAATACCATGTTTACAACAAGCCATGCGAACAAACGGCTATGAGCTTGTGTACTCAAAGTCAGGGAACTGGCCCCCGTAAGGATCTGAAGTCGGCACGCCATACAACATCGTTGCGTCAATCTCAGGATAACTGTCGAATCTAGAGAAGTCAGACAAACTATCAGTACAGGTATAACACAAGTCCCGACGACCACATACGCGCTCGCATCGCCGTCACCCGAGATTTGGGGCATATACGGCGCCTGGATCTCGCACCGACGCAGCTTGTCCCAATCGACCTCGCTAAACCACGGATGCGCAAACACGTCTCCCGCCCCGTGCCGCAGGTTTCCATATCGCTTCGACGGATCGCTTTCCATGAACTTGAGAATCAGGTCTTTCGCGTTCGAGTGGATAAGCGGCCAGGTGATGCACGACGGCCCCCTCGCAATCTTCTCATATAATTTTACCGGTGTGATGTCTGGTTCATGGAACGGCGGTAGCCCCGACAGCATCTCGAATGTCAGCACGCCCAGCGCGTACCAGTCTACGCTCTTGTTGTACCGAGCGTTTCCGATTATCTGTGTGATTTTCCGTCAGTGGCGTCCTCACACCGGGAGTACGCGGGTAGATAAGAGTAGATATATATAGTGTGCTATGCCATACGGCCTTGTCCCTAGATGTGACGAGTCTCAGGCGACGTTTCAAGTCGTTCGCGCTCCCCCTGCCCGGCAGCGGTGGCAAAGCACGACGAATAACAACAGAAACTTGCGCAAAGGCCCGTTTTGTTTGAAATCGACACGTTATGTGTGCGCCAGAATCAGAAGGAAAGGCTCCAGGGCTTACCTCAGGGGCTAAATAATCTGGTGTACCGCACAGCGTCCACACAGTCGTGTTGCAGTATTTTGCAAAGCCAAAATCGGCGATTTTGATGTGGCCGTCGAAGTTGAGGAGGATGTTCTCCGGCTTCAGGTCACGATAAATGATATCGAGCGAGTGGAGGTAGTTGAGCGCTAGCGCCACCTCCGCCGCGTAGAATTTCGCCACGGGATCGGGGAATCGCTATGCTAGAGCTCAGCGCACGACACGCGCGAGACGGAGCGGAGGATCGACTTACATTCGATCGTCGCAAGAGCGTAAAGAGCTCTCCGCCAGGCACAAAGTCCATCACCATGTACAGATTGGCGGTGTCCTGGAAGGTGCCCCAGAGGTTGATGATGAACGGGTGCTGGACGGCTTGGAGCATCATCTGCTCGTTGCGGGTGTGCGAGACCTGCTTCATGCGGACAATCTTCTCCTTGTTCATCACTTTTATCGCGTAGAACCGCAAGTTGTGTTTGCTCCGGACTGCACTCGGACACAGCGCAATCAGTCAGACACATCGGAGCACACACCATGACGACCACTCACCGAGATGGACGCGCCCGAAACTGCCCGTGCCTAACGTCCGTTGGACAATGAAGTCGGGGAGGCAGTACGAGCCCTTTGGCCGCTGCGCGACGAGTGTCCGCGGGGGCTCGAAGTAGTCATCCTGCTCCCAGGCGGGGCGGTCGGCTTTCTTGCTCCATCCGCTGGCGGACGTGCGTTCAGTAGAGATCGATCCGCGATGCTCTGTGTAGAGGCCGGCAGATAGGGTGGTCGAGAAGGACGAGGACGGCGAGGATTGCATGTTGGGGGACTTGGAAGAGCCGATGTGGCCCAGCCTGTCTGTCATGCGTTTGAACATGGTGGTAGGTGGGGGAGAGGCTATGGCAGCGCCAGAGGCCGTGAGTACTGCCTGTCGACCTTGTTCGTACGGTCATTGTTCCTCATCCGGACCACGCGGAGGTTCAAGGAAGCAAATCCGGCGCGTATTTCCCTGCGACACGCCCCCCTGGCACCCGAGCCGTCGTGGACTCGCATAGAGACGATGCAGACCAGACACAGCCATTCCGACCACCGTCTATGGGGACGGGAGGAAAACCACGGACAGTCGCAAGTGTGATTAATCCAGGAGCGGTGGAGAGCAGTGATTCGCAGAGATGGCAAGAGGCCATCTTTGGCCATAATGCGGACGAGGAGCCGCCGGGCGACAGCAGCCCGGACGTCGGGCAGAATTCACTCAGACGCACGCCACGAGCCCAGGTGAGACTGCGCCGCGCATTGAAGGTACAAAATAGATACGTAATTTAAGCTATATGCGCCCTTGCTGGTGCTCAGAGCACTACACAACCGGGCACCATATAGCTACATTGGCCAAAGCAGCGTGTAGGCAGGATTCCAGTCGGAGTTTTGCATGCAGTCCCTATTTTGGCAACATGTGGCTGCCCATTAATCGGCGATAACCCGGGCTGCAATCCGACAATGACCCATCAACATAAATGTAGCTGCAACAACTGCGGCTTAAATACTAGCAGCCCGCTTGCAATACCAGGCGATGTCGATGACGTTGACCCAGCTGCACCTTTCTAATTTTCGAAACTCCGAGATTGCGAGTGGATAAGTCCAAGACGGACTCCAGTATGAGATCCATCTGCTAAGTACACATTAAGTTTGGCTCTTATCATGAAGCAACGAATTCGATGGGACAACGCTGAGAAGTTTACATACTGGCTGGTTTATGTTCGTGCACTCCCTGTGTGCATCCGACCCATTAGGACGTACCGGTGAGTCTGGTAGCCGTGCAGCAAGACCCAGCTATTCGCCTCGATACCCATACCAGTACTATACGTACCGGTACCACTGTTCTCGCACATCCCATCACTACTTTCACTGTTTCGTAAACTAATTTCATGGTTCATACCGCTTCGCGCTTATATCCAGCGAGTAACTACGGCTGCTTCACTGTCGGTCCACACGCAAATGCGTATATTGCGCCCGTTCGAATTCTCTGTTCAGCAACCTTTTGACACACCGAATCAGCATCTCCAAACAACGAAATGCATGTCCCAGAATGGAGCGATGAGCTCTGCGGACCGTGTAAGGAATGCAGGCTCTCTGTGATACCCAAATTTGAATAGCATTGCCCCACCCTCTCTTACTTTTGGTCCAAAGCAGTTCGTCAACAGACTGTTCTATTCTCCTTCTCCCTCTCGTAATCCTCGTAGTGGGCAGCTGTTCCGAGCAGTCGTTGCACATTTCCATATCTGCAAGCCAGCTCCTGTGCAGCTGTCGGCTTGCATGTTCACCACCCCAGCATCGTCCTGATCGGCTTCGTGCTGTCCACGACGCGCTGGCTTTGGGCAACAAGTGGTCGTGTTATCATGTATGATTAGTTAGAAATCATACAGCATACAGACGGAGGATTATGCTGACTTGAATTGCTGTATAGGCAATTCAGAATCCGAATTGTCCATTGATTTGACGAATAATAGATAAAAATACATACTCAAATTCGTGACACTAGAACCAAACCAGAACGGGGAGGAATAAGCGGCAGAACGAACTGTGAGAATTGACCGTAACTGGGAGAGATCGACTCGATGTCCCGATCTTGCTTTTGGTCTTCTGCCACTGCATCTATCTGTTCTCTTCTTGTTCCCGTCTCCTGAGCGAAATGTTCTATCTTGTGGGTCTTGGTTTATGCGATGAAAAAGATATTACTATTCGCGGCCTGGAGGTCAGTCGCAGACCGTGGTCACCCGCCCGATTGTTCAATGCACGCTCTCACCGGCCAGATAGTCAAAGCCTCGTCAAGGGTGTATCTTGAGGCGTACACGAGTATCTTGATGGTACAGAAAGAGAGATTGGTCGGTTCTTATTTACTACGTGCCGTCACTCCTGCGTTGAATAATTTATACACAAGGAAGCATTCTACGGGAAGGAGCTGATCCTTGCCGATCGTGACATGGTTGAGACGGAGAGCGACGAAATGCTCCGGGATGCAGACAGAGAGGATGTGACGCTACTCGTCGTTGGGGATCCTTTCGGGTATGTGAGTATATTCAAGCCACTTCATGTCAGTCTCATTCACCACAGAGCGACGACGCATACGGACATCATCCTCCGCGCTCGCGCGCTCAAAATTCCTACTCGAGTTATTCACAATGCGTCCATCATGAATGCAATTGGGGCATGCGGGCTGCAATTGTATAATTTTGGTCAGACGGTCTCTCTTGTCTTCTTTACAGAGACGTGGAAACCGGATAGCTTCTATGATCGAGTAAAGGAGAACATGGATTTGGGCATGCACACCCTGCTCTTGCTCGATATAAAGGTCAAGGAGCAGAGCGAGGAGAACCTGGCTCGGTGAGTCCCTCATACCCAAATAAATGTTGAACACTACTCACGTTCGCCGCGCAGAGGACGAAAAATATACGAGCCTCCGCGATACATGTCCATCTCCACAGCCGTCTCGCAGCTAGTAGATGTGGAGTCGACTCGTCAGGCTGGCATCTTGCGCCCCGACATAACGTTGGCGGTCGCCATGTCCAGGGTCGGGGGAGGCGAAGCAGAGCGCATCGTATGTGGTACTCTCGAAGAACTCGTCTCGCAGCCTCCGGAGGTGTTTGGCGAGCCTCTGCATAGCCTAGTGATTGTCGGAAAACGACTGCATCATCTCGAGGTCGAGTATGCGGAGGCGTACGCCATAAACAGAGAGACGTGGAGGAGCGTCGCACAAAACGTGTACGGATGCGCTTTAGATTCCTGACGACCATTAAAAAAATCATCCACAAACCGTATCTGATCACCGAAGGACGTGTGATGAAGCTATGTGCTGAGAGTGCATTTTCGTTTATGTATGTATCAGTACAGCGATCCTGGCATGCTTCCCTGTGGTGTAGAGTAGTACGACGGCTTACAGCTTATTCATTAAACATAAACACATGGTGCGTCACACAAGGTTCTGTCCGGTCGTCTTACATCTGATTCATGACTATTCACTTCTGGCAGAGACAGTGTAGCAACACTTGCTTCCTCACAATTTTGATTCGGAGACGTTCGATAGCCGCTCTCAATTGAGCACAAGCTTTATGTCATTGCAGGAAATACAGCGCAATCGTCGACGCCTCGTTCAGACTCAGCCAGACAAAATCCCAGTGCGAATAATATCCCTGCATCGCGCGTGTTCATTGGCCTGATATTCTCATTAGATTTTGATGGTTCCGCAATAGCTATGCACAAACATACCCCGGAAGCATTGCAGCCCCACGTGGTGGCATTTTTACTTGCTTTTTGGGGGCTCCGCGCAGCCGCACGCGGGCCAGTTGCAGGAGCCGCCGTTAGCCTCGCTTTTTGCACATTTCGCGGTATCCTGTTGCGAATGGAGCGAATCAGCGTCAGGTTCCAAAAGACAGCCGAGTCTGGTCCGTACTCACAGACATTATGGTTGGAGTTGGTTTGAGTGTAGTGAGATACTGGAGATGTGCCCCCTGGCGGGCACTCATTATATAGGACCGCTCTGTGAATCAGACATAAAGCACACGGCTCTATTGGTCGCGCTCGCCACAAATCAGTACGCGCTGGAATGTCATACGGTTCACTCAACGCGAACCTTACGGAACTCTCCTCGTTTATTGGCTGCAGTGAGTGCCAGTGACTGGGCGAGCTAGCTTTCGTCCATTCGCATTCACATTGATCCGTGCTGCACACATTCCTCTATGACAGTTGCATCCACCCTACCAACTTCCAACTTGACCGCATACTCAGATACTGGTACTGTGGCAGCAAAGCCTGGCTGGCGTGTCCTTGTGTGCATGTTGGTAAACTGTGTCTCCCTATGTCTCGTTCCGGTTCTGGTAGGATTTCTTCTATCCGATATGCGTCCAACAATGTCACGAACACATGGTAGTATTGGAATTTTCAAGCTCAATGAGTCGTATCGTTTCGTGAGACCAGAGCGTTCGACAAACGGGTACAACTATGAAATCATGCGGAGGGAGGGTGCACCTGTAGCTTGTTGGTATTGTACGACAGTGATAAGTAAAATACCAACTCGCAAAAAAGATAAAATGCAGACAAGCTGTGTAGGATAAGAGTTTTGCGCCCGCATTCCCCTGAGAAGAGGTTCAACTCTGGACTTATCATACTCCGAAAGGGCCAGACAGAAAAATGCATGAGGGTAACACTCAAGCAAGGAGCGAATTCTGGCCGATGACGGGCAAGCCCCAGCCATTTTCACCACCAGACCAGGATCCACATTTCACTATTCCCGACTGATACAGCCTACCACCGATCCGAAGTATTGAATAGCTGCGATGATATTCTATGACGATATTGGTAATGTTACACAAGAGCGGCACATGAGCGTGCTAACCTCAATAAGAGACGAACTAAGTACGTGCAACGTTGTAAAGCAAGCGACGAAACACATTATGCGGTGGCGTTGTTAAAGATCAACAGGTTGGGGGTGCCCGTTGGCAGGGTTTCAAGAACGTTCTCCGTCGCGAGCGCAAGCAAAGCCTGCTTCAGCTGCTTGGGCGTCAGGGTGGTCGGCGGCGCGGGAATAGGGGCAACCACGAGCTGAGGTGGGGGGAGGAACATAGACACCCAGCTCGGCAAGACAGAGTGTGCGAATTCGTAGGCGCGGGAGAACGAGGGAGTGAAACTCTGCTCTTGCATGACGGCGGGTGTGAGGTCAGGGACAAGTGTGGGGTCGAAGGTGGCGGAGGGGTAAATTGAGAGAAGGTATGCGAGCAGACCGGCAGTGTGCGGCGATGCCATGGACGTGCCAGATATGGTGGTCACCGCATCCTTGTGGCCAATGTAGGTCGACAAGACGTTTAAACCTGATAAGAAACAATTAGTTCAAGAAGCACAAAATACTAAACGGTGACATACCGGGTGCGAAAACGTCAACACAAGGGCCATAGTTGGAGAAGTATGCACGGTCATCACCAAGGGTGGAGGCACCTACAGTGACAGCCTTCTCTGCGGAAGCGGGAGAACTGGTGCAAGCATCCCTGTTATCGTTACCTGAGGGTAACGATTAGTAACTAGGACCATTATCACATGTTCCGATAAACATACCAGCAGCAACAGCGAACAATACGCCACCATCAACAGCCTTGTTGACAGTTTCGTCCAGCGCCCTCGATTTGCCACCACCAAGAGACATGTTAGCAACAGAGCCCTTATGCTTGGTCTTGCCTGTCTCGGCGAACTCCTTAGCCGCGGCCGCCGCCTTTGTTGCAGCCTGCTTCGCTACGAAGGCAACGCCAGCAACAACGTCACTCATACTTCCACTGCCGTTGCTGCCGAGAACCTTGACAGCAATAACATTGGCAGCCTTGGCGACACCATATGCACGAGATGCAATAGTACCAGCACAATGGGTACCGTGGCCGTTCGCATCTTCATCGACATCACCCTGAGGGATCGTCGCGCCCCACGATGCACGACCCTCAAACTCGGTATGGTTGATAAAGATACCGGTGTCGACGACGTACACATCGACACCCTCGCCACCGCGGGGATCATACTCATACTTCTTGAACGTGCCAAATGTGAGTCGCGAGCGGTGGCTTATCCGGGCCAGACCCTGATTATACAACTATTAGCCGGCTACGACACGACGTGAACGCTGGCACTCACCCAGGGGGCATTCTTCTGCGACTTGACAGAGTTGATGTCAACCTCGTCAGCTGGCATGTCGAGGGTCCGGACGATCTGGTCGCGCTCGATGTACTCAACCTCGGGCATTTGCCTGATGCTGACAATCGTGTCCTCGCTGAACTTGCCAGCGTAGCCCTTGACGTGGCCATCGTAAACGTGCCTCAGCCCCGCGTCCAAGTCGTCGACCAATGGGTTTGACTCGTGTACGGTTGCAAGGAAGTTGAGGTGGTTCTGCATGAGGGCAGGCGTGATGCCTTCCTTGAGCATGATGATGTACGAGTTGTTCACCGTCCCGTAAGGGTGGTGAGGGATGAGCAGAGGTGCATACGCCAGCGACGACCGCTCGTGCGGAACGTCATAGGGGTGCGTGGAGAGTGGATTAGCGTACCCCGACGCCGCGAGGGACACCGCAAGGAAGGAAGCAAGGAGGAAAGACATGGTCGTCGGGCAGAAGGACGACGTGGGGGAGCGCACCGAGCTCGCCGCGGCTGATAACGGACGCGTGCTGCGTTTGGTCGTGTGTACAATGTGGCTGGCGCTCCTCCGTTCCCCACACAACCAGACACGACCCGGCGTAGTTATCTCTGATGCGACACTCACCGCATTTTGCGGCATTCCACCAGAGCTCTTACGGGGGGGAAACTCGGCTGATGTATCAACATTGATAAGTTAGCCACATCACCATTAATGAGGCATGTTCTCTCCTGGAAGCTCGCAGATTATCGCGAGCTTCTCCAAGGGTTCTCTCACACCGTGATGTTCATTTGCTTCCGCTACACTGCCCTGGTGAGTCAAATCGAGTCAGTCTTCCCCTAATGTTCTGAATGGCTTGGGAGGCTAGGCACATCGATTTTAGCGTGCCTTTGTCTGTAAATTGCGGTGGAGTGATTATTACTACTACAGTAGGTCTCCGCTTGCTGGAGGCTGAGATAACGACATATCATCCGTAGATTGACGCTTGTCGAAGTGGCACCTATCACGAAAACCGGATAAACTCTACTGTACATGGTTCTGAACTGAAAGTTGGAGCTAATCACTACGCTGGACTGGCTTGGCACCCCTTCACAAATTCACAGGCTGAAGGTGCGCGGCACCGTACAGTCGCCAGTAAGCTGCTGCCATAAGTTTGAACATCGAGTGTGCTTCAATTATCCGCGACAAAGTACGTTCTTGTAATGCATCCATTTACCGTCGGGACGTGCTTTCTCACATAATGGAGTTGCCATAATCATCGAACATTCGCACAGCTGATGCGCATGCACCATATAATGCTCTTGATCCGACATGAATATCCATCGTGCAACCGTTTCTATGAATACATATCTCACATAAAGTACGTGCGCGTGTGCGTCACTCGCTATATACTTTATCTTCCGATGAGCCCTGCAACGTCTCGATGATCTTCCTCATGCGTTCATATACTGCAAACACGATCGCCTGGCCAGGCGCAACGCGCAGCACACGCGGCGTGATGCCCTTATAGAACGAGCGGAATCCTTCCTGGCGCCACATATCCCCCGCAATGGCCGCGATGCGCTGAAATGCGGACGTACCCGGCACCGCCGTCGCCTTCTGCAAGCCTTTAAATATGCACAAGTGTGGTTTGAGTGGAGATAAAACGCGAACGGAAGAAAAGAGGACATACGCGTCTTGATCGTGTCGATGGGCGCGTTGGAAAAGGGGCCCATAGCGCCGGAGATCAGCCCGATAACCATATGCTGGTAGGATGGCAAGTCAACCAATTCCGGCTGCATTTGGTGAGCAAACTTCTTCAATTCTTGATATGCTGTGAAGTTTGCGCCTATAATGACATAGGACCATTGGCATTGGTGCAGCACCTCCAGCTCTAAACACACCTTGATTTGTCGCCTGTCGTAGAGCGGTCAGAGACACTCCACGGTAAAGGGCGCTGAAGCCCTCTTCGCGGATGATCTTGTACACTGCATGCCCAGCATTTCTGTATTGAGGCGTTTCAAGAGGGTCTGCGAGCGAGTGCTGCTGCGCTTGTAGCCGAATCTTCACAACCTCCATGGGCGTCACTACAAATACAGCCTCGGTCGTCCCCGCGCCCAAACCGGCTGTGATTGTGACTTCATAAATAAGGGAGGTCCAACGGGAGACAGCCACGCACCAATGAATATATTACCGACGCTGGTCTTGCCAGTCTCCTTGTCTGCTAGCCATCCCTTGTATGTCTCGAAACTCGCGAACCGGATAGCCATCTTGGGGACGATTCCCGACAGCACCGCACCCAAGCCCTTGTAGAGCGCGAGAGGAGTTTCTCGCTGAACGATCATTGCTCCCGTCGCGAGGAACCCTCTGGGTTTAGTCTGAAGCGCATATAGTCTGAATAGATGGGCACATGCACGGACGGCGGACGACTAACCCCTGGAGCCAGCCCAGAGCGCGAGAGCTGCATTCGTACTTTGATTGTGTCCAGAGGTTGGCAGCATAGCTGAGGTAGATTAGAACGGAAGGCAATATGTTTCGATATTCTCAACTTACCGCCTCCATCGCTCCTGCTGTGCCTCCTGCCGTCAACTGAATGGCAAACCCAACAGGCTTCTTGTCACCCGAGCGCGACATGTCGTTGATAATCGTCTACAGAGGCGAGATCAAAGCTATTGGTGTTCAGAACAGACACTAAAAACCTGTCAAACAAGCACAAGATGTCTATCAAGAGATAAAAATCGTTGCGAATGCGTCTAAGCGGGCGTGGCGCCCGCGAAGGGAGGGAGGGCTTGTGGGGGAGATGTGGAAGGGATAATTGAACATTGCGCGGGTGCGCAAAGTCGAGAGGCTTTTGACTGGCAGGTGCGCCGCTCTTGCTCGCCAGGGGTGCGGGGTTAGGCATGTGAATCCCCACCACCGCGGGCGCCTACTCTCTTCGTCCGAATCCTCCGCTGCTGTCCGCTCTGCCCCCGCACCGTCCTCGTCTCTCGCCGCCGGCTAAATCGTCCAGAATGACATCCTGGCCTCGTTCTGATACCCCTCATATGTTTTTGTAAGGTCGGCGAGCCAGATAACAGAGAGAGAGAGAGAGGCGACTCGCCCATTTCCTCGCTGTGACTGACTCCTGCAGAGACCGGCGTTGCTAAAGCCGAATCGATCTGAGGTTTGGGCAGTGGATCACCCGACCTCCTCTAGGCTGTCTCGTGCTCGCCTCCGCCATCGCTTCATCTTCAGATCGCTTTCTGTGCTCCACTGGCATGTCTCTGCATGCGACAAGTTTCGGTGTCCCGAGTTCGTCGCTCGTCCCGCTTTCTTCCGACGTGTTCACGCAGTCTCTGTGAGTCCTGGGTAGTAGCTGAGCCGGCGTGTCGAGCGAAGCCTTACACACAAGTCGTTCGTAGTGTGTGCAAGCGTAGATTGGGAGTCGGGGAAAGAGATCTATCAATTGGCAATCAGGCGCCCATGCATCTGAATTCGACTGCTTACTCCGCGAACGGAAAGGTGAATTCTACGACCAACCATTTTGTCAGCATGCATGGGCAACTTGCTTGCCGCCTCGAGTTGCGCTGATATGCATGTTGGTTGACGGCCTGGTCTATGAGGACAGCGAGCATGGAAGAGTTATCAATGGCATTCGCATGCGCAGGAATACGTATCATGTGTAAATTACACGTCATATGTAGGCAACAGCTCCTAGGCGATTGTCGAACCATGTCGCATGACAGTAGGAGATTTATCGCAAGACTAACATGCTCTTGTCTTCAATAGAGCATAACCTACTAGACCTCCGGGTAGTGCCAGTGTTCCCTCTGCGCCTCTATCCCCGCGAAGAACGTTTTGCCGCCCGCGCAGAGTCTTCTCCCCGGCTCTCCAACGTCTAGGAGAGACCTGGGCACCGTCGGTGTCGATGCTGAGCCCCCATCTTCCAAATTTTTTCAAAATCACTCCCGCATGGGCGGACTGGCTCGCGGCGATCGTGGCTGACATGTTTCAATTCAGGTGGTACTCGCGGCGGTCGGAAAAGATTACATATATGACTGTATCTGTGCCCTTCGACGAGCCAGAAATTCCATACACAGTGCGGCTGGCAGGCACTCACCAGCGATGTAATGTCCGCCCCACAGTCCCGACTCCGCCCCAGGGCGTACTCTCCATTTCTCGAATCTCTGCCACATATTTGGGATCCACAGAGCGCTGTAACTGCAGCGACACTTGCGATAGAACAGGCCGACAGGTCTGGAATTGGCTAGCAGGCTTAGGTCCGCTCAACATGCCCCTAGACATCTCGCCCAAAAGACTTCAGGGTTGCGCCAACTTGCAGGAGAGCACTAGTCTCAAACCAGACGTTCCGCAGGGACACTGCACTCACCGATCTCGTAGGGTAACTATCATAGCATTCACTCTGTCTCTACCTCCATCCACATGCTGTATAATAATTTAGATAATCACACACAGCATGTCTGCTCATTGCTCAAGGCTGATACGTCGTGGATGGCGCAAGCGCGTCTGTCCTGACGATGCTGGCATAGTGGGTATACATAGCCAGACGACATGCATATGCTGCTCTGGCAGTTAGAAATATACAAAGAGTGTGGAAAGCTGCTCACCGGCGCCACACAATGGACTCCCGTACAGTTACCATGACTTTCCGTTACGCTGCAGAGCTGCTTGAGCTGCCTCAGCCAATGCTATCTCATTCGCCTCTTCCTAGTAGTCGTATAGGGTACTGAATATAAAGTTGCATACATACACAATGTTAAGCTTCTCACCTCTTTCGCCTTTTGTGCGGCAGCTTCCTGTATAGCAAGTGCCTACAAGATTCCTCCGCGGGTGAGCATGTTAGATTGTATAGACGCATCAGCTTCATACCTCTGTAGCACAAAAGCCGTCAATGATGTACTATAAGCGTCAGTAATAGTGAGCTCACCTTTGCCTCTTCGTAGCGTGTCGCGGTGGACAAATCCCATCATGACGATGCCCCATACACTGATCCCCACAAGTGTATAGACGGTACCTCTGTGAATTATGTCACTGATTGACATTCTAAGTTTTCCAGCCATAGTAGATGGCACTCAGAGAAACAACAAAGAGGTGTAAAGCGTATGATCTCGAAGGTTGCGGAGACGACCGGGTCGTTGAATGGCGGCCTGTTCCAGTTGGAGAAAAATCTAATCTTATCAATTGTTCGAGCTCGTCTATACTTTGCGACTCACTCGGGATCGTACTCAAGGCTCAGGTCAACCACCAGCATCATAACTCTTCTCAATTTTGATTCAACAATCCTGTCGCCACCAGTAGCAGGGGAACATGGCGG